CAGGAAAGTGAGCTTGCATTCGTCGTAAACTCCGCTTGGAACTGGTGGCTTGGTTGTTGTACCTGCATGCCGGGAAAAGTTGCAACGCTTGTAAATAGATTGAGTCCATCCTCGTGTGGGTGTAAATGAGAGGTACTTGTCACACATTGACGGATTGCTGCTAATCAGTGCTTTCGCAACAGCTGAAACGACGCTGCCGTTCACTACACCACCTCTGGACCTGAAGTTTTTTAAGAATGCGATCAGTTTGCTGTCCAGCTCGAGAAGGAACGGTGGTCACCCACATTTCTGCATTTCAAGGGACGTAACCAGTTGAACGTTTCCTTGTCTTGTTTGTGCAGAAAGTTCCTCTCGAAATGCCTTTTTAAAGGCATGCACTGTGCTTTCTTTTAAGCCTGGAAATTCTTCAATAAAGCGTTCTAGGGTTTTTTTGTTTCCATTTTCACTTGCGAACTTCCCAATTTTTACGCGATCCTCGCCGCTGTATTGAAAATATTTTCCCCTTTTTCTCTTAGGATGTTGATTTGGTTGCGAAATCTCGGCGGGTCTTGAAAGGTTTACAACTGCAGCCATGGTTTCCCTGTGTTCAACCACTCCTAAATTTGTATCCTCCTGCCTCGGTATATGTGATTCAAGTATTTCTACCTCCACCGAATCTTCAGGCGAAGGTTCTTCTCTACTGAGAGAGAAGCTGAACTTAAACAAAGACATGTAATGGTAGTAGACGAACGCTCATGTGTAATTTCTACAGAAAACACGTGTAGTTGTAGAATACTGTAAATGCACAATGATTTCACGTGGTCAGCAGGGATATGTGATCGTCAGCTGTCAAAAAAACCGGAAATACCTTAGATGTTTAAACCTTGAACCCTGCTAGAGTAAGACACTTTGATTCTGGTGATGGCTTCAGTTTCTGGTACTCCCCAATATTCCTTTCCCTGCGGCCTGAGAGGCTTTCACGTTTATAAAGAGATTTGGAAACCTAAGGTTGGAGACGTTCTTTCCTGCATCCATGAAAGAAACAACCAACACGATCGATACGCAATAGCTGCGACAAAATTGCTTCCTGGACGACTATCAAATGTAACACTCGGTCATTTATCACGTGAGATCAGTCGCTTTACAAGATTTCTTATTTCAAGAGGCGCAGATGTCTTCGTGACAGTAAAAGACAGACACTTTCGATGATCGCCACTCATACAAGGAGGCTTGGAGATTCCAGTAGAGGCGACAGTAAGAATGGAGGCATCTACGAAGAACGTTGAAGCAATTGAAAGGTTCAAACAACTGGTAGAACAGCATTACAAGGAGCCAGTGAATGGACAGTTTGAGGACTGTACAAAACATGTGCTGCCTGATCATGAAGAGGAGACGGAAAGCAGTAGTGATGAAGAGGACCAGAACATTACTTCAGAATAGTTATTGTCATGAACGTTTATAGTGTAATAAAGTCACTTTTTAAATTGTCGACATATAGTGAGTCACTTAATTTTCGCGTCATGTTATTTTCGCGACATTTAATTTTCGCGTCACTTAATTTTCGTGATTTTTTTCAAATCGCAAAATTCGCGAAATTAACATGTCGCGAAAATTTCATGTAATAAGGTATATTTATATTAAAGGCAGACGGTGTAACTTAATGGAATAATACAGTATATTTTAGCTTTTAGGCGCTCCATTGTGTAGACCTCAGTCATTCATCTGGTGAGAATGTTTACTAATATAGGTACGGCCACATGTGTATATGAATATAAGCTTATATTTGCTAGTCATTAATCGATTTTGATCTTAAAGCTTATTGAAGGCTTTAACCTTGTGTTTTAAGTGGCAATGAAATTTTTGTTTTTCAAAGGTTTTATTTCAATATAAGGACAGCAGGTGGGCAGTGGACATTTGTGAAACTGAGGGTGTCATTATGAAAATCAAGGATTATTACAAACTCAGCAGCACTGCCGCTGTGGTTTTACAGAAATATTCAGAGACTTGGTCTGACTGGATCGACATTAAAGTTGAAGATATCTGTGATATTGAATGTAATAAGTCTTGTAGATAAATAATCATTACATTTCATTGATTGAAATATTTATACAAAAGATGTTTTCTTTTTTCGCAGGTGGAAGAACAGACAGGATGCAGAGATGTTTTGCATAGTATGATAAAGCCGTTTCAATGGCCTCAGGCATGAGAGAAAATGATTTTAAGGTTTTTGAGAAGATGTCGTGGTCTGTTGCAGTATGTTTCTGTGTAATTTACAAGTTTTCTTTAATTCAGAACTTTAAAAGTGACCAATTTTTCAAGATTGAATCCATTTCCATCCTTGGCTTGACATCCATAATAGGAGACGATGGTAAATAGTTTCAGACTGCAGTCTTTACCAAGAAATCTAAACCTTTGTTTTGGTGTCCTGTTGATGCATTGACATCTTTGAGCTATTTATTGAAAGTGATACTCAAAAAATTGTGACAGTACCTTTCAAGTCAATAGCAGATGCTTGATTTTTGGCTCCCCAAAAAACCTGTCGGCCGACTGTCGGTCAACTGTCGGCCGACAGTCGGCTGACTGTCGGCCGTTTGTCGGCCAACAGTTGGCCGACAGGTTTTGCCCGAAATATAGGCTACCTGTCGGCCGACAGTGGATCGACAGTTGGCCGACAGTCGGCCGACTGTTGGTAATGTGTTGGTAACCTGTTGGTAGCTTGTCGGTAGCTTGTCCGTGAAAGGTTAACACAAACCTTAATGTTTTCTCTCGGTTTTTGCTTGATACAACATCCAACATGTGTAGTACGTTGACAATTGACTTTCAAGATTTGGTGGCTCCTAAAGGAGCCGTTTTGTGAGTGGTGAAATATTCAAGATACTTCACTCGTAGAATCGTGATTTTAGCGGCGCGCGCCTAAATCAATTATCGCATCACGCATCCAAGTCTAATTATCGAATTGTTGCGTATAGTAATTTATTACTTAACATAACTGTTAGATTTTTCCTAATTTTGGTTTCCCTGTTCTACGTAGAAGTTAGTGTCACAAGACCTGTTTTCCATATTTGGTATTGTACACGAGGTTTTCTGTTTAGATTAAAAATAGTTCTTCCGCCATCTTGATCTAGTTACTGTGTTCCTGGCCTTTTATTCGGAATACACAACAATTGGCGACGAGGATGGGATTCCTTTGATCAAGCACAAGCGGTTAACAGGAGTGGGTCGTACAAATCACGTTCAAAAAGGGACAGAGACGACGAAAATAAAATTATGCCGGACAAAGCACCGAGCGCTAACACGAGTCAAGCCATCGGCAAAGTGACAAAGTTTGTGGTGGGAGCGGATTGGGAGTCCTACACCGAACAACTGGATTTTTACTTTCTTGCAAATGGAATCAAGGAACCTAAAACAATGAAGGCCGTACTTTTGACGAACCTTCCGGTGGAAACTTACCAATTGGCGAAGGATTTAGTGGCCCCCACACAACTGAAAGATGACGCCATTACCTATGAGATCATCGTGGAGCGAATGTGGGAACAACTGAAACCTGAAAGATCAGCGCTGGTTGCGAGGTATGAGTTCAACAACCGAGCCAGGAATTCCGGTGAGTCAGTTAGTCATTATGTAGCCACGCTGAAGCACTTGGCCACAGAATGTAAGTTTGGAGAGGCCATGCAAACCGAGCGCCTTCGTGACCAATTAGTTTCAGGTATCCGCGAATCGAAGATGATTACGGAATTGTTGAAAGTAAAACTCGCCGACCTTTCATTTGATCTCGCGGTTCAAAAGTGTTTGGCCATTGAGCAGGCTAATAAAGATGTTCAGGTGCTTTAGGGAGAACAAGGGCCAGGCACCCCAATCAATAAACTTGACACTGTCAAAACTGGGGAAGAACAAGCCATATCCAAGCCACCACCTAGGGCCGAGGGTCCCCGAGGTAAGGACAGTAAGAAGTCTAAATCTTGCTACCGCTGTTCAGGGTCACATAACTCACAAAAGTGTCCCTTCATGAAAGAACGCTGTTTTCATTGTGGCATCATTGGACATACACAGAGAGCATGTAGGAAGAGACAGGCCACCTCACAGATGGCTGAGGCTGGAATAAATGTCATGGAGGGTGATGATTCCGAAGAAAGTGATGGAGAATTTGGGAACCTGTACCATGTCTCAGACATTAAAAACACAAAGCCCATTTCACTTAAGATCTACCTTGAAGGCCGCCCAGTGACTATGGAGCTGGATACAGGTTCAGTGGTGTCAGTCATGAGTGAGAGGGTGTATTTGGATTACCTCCGCCACATTCCTTTAAAGGACACCTCCTTGAAGTTGCGCACATACACAGGAGAGTCAGTGAAGCCTATGGGGTTTTGCCATGTGACTGTGCAGTATCAGGGACAGTCAAAGAAACTTCCCATATATGTAGTGAAGAATGAGGGACCCACCCTTTTTGGCAGAGAATGGCTGGAATCTATCCATCTGGACTGGCCCTTACTTCGTGTGGAAACATCCGACACCATTCCAGCCTTGGAAGATGTCCTGAGTAAGCATGGAGATGTTTTCTCTGAAGGTTTGGGCAAAATGAAGAATATCCAAGCACGGATCCAAGTTAAAGAGGATGCCCGGCCTCGATTCTGGAAAGCCCGCCCAGTAGTGCTGGCTCGTAAACCAGCAGTGGACGAAGCATTGAGAGAGCTGGAAGCTGAAGGAGTTATAAAGAAGGTAGCTACTAGTGAGTGGGCTGCTCCAATTGTGACACCTGTGAAGAAGGATGGCAGTGTAAGAGTGTGTGGTGACTTCAAAGTGACCATCAATTCACAGCTGGAGGTAGACGAGTACCCACTTCCCCGCATTGATGATATGGGGGAACGTTGTTCAGCGTCATTGACCTTCGTCAAGCTTACTTACAAATGGAGGTTGAGGAGTACTCCAGGCCTTTCCTCACCATTAACACAACCCGTGGTTTGTTCCAGTACCAGCGCCTTCCTTATGGTGTAGCTTCGGCGCCAGCCATCTGGCAGCGAGCTATGGATCAGATCCTGCAAGGACTACCAGGGGTCTTCTGTTACCTGGATGATATCATTATAACCGGCCATACCATAGAGGAACACCTGGAGCGGTTAGTCGCAGTATTGAAGAGGTTGGAAGAGTATGGTTTGAAAGCCAACCGAGAAAAGTGTAAATTCCTTAGAAGTTTTGTGGAGTACCTAGGACACGTCATCTCTGCAGAAGGACTGCACCAATCCCCAAAGAAAGTAAAGGCTATCACTGAGATGCCGAAACCTCAGGATGTTACTCAACTGCGTGCTTTTCTTGGCATGGTCCAGTATTACGCCAAATTCTTGCCCGATCTGGCCACTCATCTTGCTCCACTTCATCGGCTGTTACAGAAAGATGTGACGTGGTTGTGGGGAGCTGCGGAACAAACTAGTTTTCTTGTGGTGAAAGAAATGTTGCTACAGGATAGGGTTCTGATGCGCTATGACCCTGACTCACCACTAGTTCTTGCCACAGACAGCTCCTCGTATGGTCTCAGAGCGGTCTTGTCACACCGTACTGCTGAGGGAGTAGAGCGTCCTATCGCTTATGCGTCCCGGTCCCTGTCCGAAACAGAGAAGAAGTTCTCACAAATCGAAAAAGAAGCATTATCTTTGGTCTGGGGTGTGAAGAAGTTCCAAATGTACCTGGAGGGTCGCCACTTCACCTTGGTCACCGACCATCAGCCTTTGAAGTACATAATGGACCCCGGGAAGGCTGTGCCAGTCACAGCAGCAGCGAGGATTCAACGTTGGTGTCTCTTCCTAGGAGCTTTTTCATACAATATCGAGTTCCGAGGTACCAAGCAACATGCCAATTGTGATGGTTTATCTCGCCTACCCCAACCATCAGCGCCCGCTGACAAGCCCGATGAAGTTGAAATATTCCATACCACCGTTGTCGAGGCCCTCCCCGTTACAGAGCACGACTTGAGAATGCAGACCCGTAGGGATCCAGTACTTTCCCGTGTTCTGGAGCTTGTGCAGTCAGGATGGCAAGGGACCGAACTTCACCCAGAGCTCATCCACTATGCCCATTGCGGTAACAAAATCACGATTCATCATGGAGTTCTAATGTGGGGTAGTAGAGTAGTCGTCCCAGCCAAACTGAGAGAGAGAGTTTTGGAAACGCTTCACGAGGGTCACATTGGTATGGTCAAGATGAAGGGTTTGTCCCGGGGTTTTGTTTGGTGGCCAAACATTGACAAGGACATAGAAGGGGCCGTCCGAAACTGTGAGGGATGTCAAGAGTTGGCAAATAATCCAGCCCGTGCACCCCTGCATCGATGGGAGTACCCTTCCCTTCCCTGGCAAAGACTGCATATTGACTTTGCCGGACCAGTCGAGGGAAAGATGCTCATGGTAGTGGTCGATGCCCACAGCAAGTGGCCAGAGATTTTCGTGATGGAGATCACCACTGCTGAAGAAACCGTTAGCACGCTGCGCTCTCTGTTTGCCCGCATGGGACTCCCTGACCAGATGGTGTCAGATAATGGTCCACAGTTCACGTCTGAAACCTTTAGGAAATTTACAACTGCGAACGGTATAAAGCATGTCACTGGTGCACCTTACCATCCATCAACCAATGGTCAGGCGGAAAGATTAGTACAGAGTTTCAAGAAAGGAGTTAAGGCTGACAAGTCCAGTAGAACCCTGCAACACAAGCTTGATAGGTTCCTGTTAGCTTATCGATCAGCGCCACACGCCACTACTGAGCTTAGCCCTGCACAGCTTCTCCTGGGTCGGAATGTTAAGACAAGGTTGGACCTGATTAAGCCGGATGTTTCAAGAAAAGTTAACAAGAAGTTGCTCCAGCCCAATGACTGCACTTTAAAGTCTTTTGACCAAGACCAGAACGTATGGGTCCGCAACTACCGCAGAGGTCCAAAATGGGTGCGTGGCACCGTCATTGAACAAACGGGTCCAGTCCTGTACAAAGTCAAGGTAAACGACCAAACCTGGAAACGTCATGTCGAGCAGCTACGGGATAGCAATCTTTGCCCACCTGACGCGGAAACGATTGATGATTGTGCTGTTCCGGAGGAGGTCGAACATGACACACCGCCTGTAGCTACGGAGACTGAGTGGAAGGATGCACCACCTTTGGCTGTGACGCCTATTGGGGAGTTTTCCCCTCCAGAACCACAAGGTCATCAACTAGATCCGAAACCTGAATTGATTACCACCCGTGCCGGTCGTTTGGTTAAACCACCTCCTAAGTTGAAGGACTATGTTTGCGGCTAGAGGGAACTGTGGTGTTTTCTTTCTGTGGTCACAGTACCAACATGTTATCTAAGATACTTTGAAATTTGTTTCTTGGATTTTGTTTTATTCTTTCTTTTCATTAGTGTACTATTTAGTCTTAAAAGGGAGGAAATTGTTAGATTTTTCCTAATTTTGGTTTCCCTGTTCTACGTAGAAGTTAGTGTCACGAGACCTGTTTTCCATATTTGGTATTGTACACGAGGTTTTCTGTTTAGATTAAAAATAGTTCTTCCGCCATCTTGATCTAGTTACTGTGTTCCTGGCCTTTTATTCGGAATACACAACAATAACGAGTAAAAAGATTCACAGTTGTATCATTCATTAAACTTGAAATTGGAAATAGCAATTCATCCCAAACCTGCAAGATAGAGGACGATGTTAGCAACACAAATGCACAAGGTAAACATTATTGATACATACATAACATACCATAAGAGGCAGCGTTGCATTGTTGGGCGATTTGAACGAAAGTGTCTGTATTGATACGTAGCTTATGGTCATCAGAGTTTTTGGCCGAGTTTTTCGATTAAATTATCTTCCAATGCGATTCTTAGATTGTCTGGTGTGTTGTAAATTACGCAAGTGATATATCCTATACGCATCTGATAACAACATTTTGGAAGAAACGTTTCTTTACATACTTTCAACTTTGCCGTCGATCGGTAAGTAGGTGAAGTCTGTCGAGTCATACATCACCATTACGGATTGTTATGTCACATTAACTGTTCGTTTTTAACACAATTTTTCTTTTTTCTTAACCTGTCGGTAACCTGTTGGTTAGCTGTCGGTAACCTGTCGGCCGACAGTTGACCGACAGTCGGCCGACAGGTTTTTTGGGGAGCTCTTCTTCACAATTACCATATTTTTTGCGGCCCAAAACATAATCAATTATGCACCAAGGTCAGGACAAACCACGTTAGTATTTAATAATGGAGGACTCGCAGTTGGCCCTCGGGTAAAAGTGAGTATAAACAGGGTCGTCTTTATAAGTAAAGCTTGTTAACTAAAAAAATTGTAGACTGAAACTAGTCACCATCATTGAATCATTTAGTGATTCACATTGTCATGCGCTTTGCAAATTATCCCTTTATAATCAGACCAATAATGGGTAAAATTTTCACAGATGTTTCTGTTTTTTCCTGATTGTAGTTCCCTGAGCAACAAACCAAAGAGATAATTAATGCCGAAATTGATTTAAATCAACTAAGAATGCAGTCAGCTATTTCCTCTTTGGATCCTGGTGATAAACTAAAAGATTACCACAAGGCCATCAATGATGCTTGCTTTGAGACAACAAAACAAAATCCAAGTCTCGTTCATGATAAAGAAAATCTTCAAAAGCTTGCTATTGCAAAAGTGGATGCCGATGGTTATGCATACAAAAAGAAAAAATCAAGATCAAAGGCACTAATGACAACCGATGTTGAATTGAACACTACCAAAGCAAAGAACATTACTCAAGAAGTTAGGACAAAACGCATGAATGAGGTAATGGAAGACCTTAAAGAGGTTGATTTACAAATGAGCCTCTACGAGAAGCAGCGATCAAGACAAACTAACATTCAACAGTATTCTCAGGCAATAATCTTAACCAAGCACATGGCTGAATTGCGACAAAAAAAGAGGAAACTTCAAAATGAGCTTACTGATTTACAGTGTAAAGATGCCAAATCAGTGAGATACAGAGAGCACAAGGCAAAGAAAACTGGAGCCAAATGTAGTTCATCTTCAATAGGTCAAGGTGCAACAATTGATGTCATGCTCAAAAGAAAAGCATGTGGCCCTGTAGCCATTGTTGGTGCTACCGACGGTAATAATGAAGGTGTGGACACAAAGAAACAAAAAGTTGCCATAGAAGATCCACACAACACAGAAACAAGTCTTAATATTGAGTGCAATTGGTCAAGTGACAAAGGGGAATGTACTGTTGACAAATCCACCAAAGAAAGTGCAGTGTCGGAGAAGTCTTCTGAAGATGATCCTTTTTTATAGACTTTGCAGCGCCTTCTGTAGACTTTGATGCATACAGAAGATACGCTGCATCCGCAAAACGTAACTTGAGTAACAAAGATTCCTACAAAGTTGGCGAGGGTCTGTACAGGTTGTTGATAAATGATGTTTCACTTCTTGAGTTCACATCTCTCTGCTTGTTTTTCTGTGGGGCAAACCATAGGAGTTGTCAAGAGTGTCGAAAACTTTTGAATTGTGCTAATGACATTTTACACTATGGTGTAATAGACGTTAAAACTGTTTATTGTAAACACTTCCCTTTTTTTTTTTGGTCAGCGGTGAGTTGGTCAGGACGGACGTTACTTTACGAGCTCCGCTAATCTTAATCAAGTTTGGATAATTTTTCGTTTCGTTTTGGATAATTTTTCGTTTCTTTTTTCACGATCGTTTTTCTTTTTTTGCTTTCTGAGAGATTCAAGAATGCCCGAGTCTGTTGCTAGCCTTAAGAGAGAGAACAGTAAGCTTAAAGATCAACTGTCTGTCATGGCGGATGAGATTGCTAAGATGAAGGTGATGCTGCTGGAGCAGTCAAAAAAACCTGCAGCGACTAATGACGAAGTAGAGCAAAGCTTAGAATTCATGAGTAAAGAATATGATGACTTTGAGCGATTCAGGGTCTCTGCTGGTAAAGAACTTGATCGCTTAGGTGCCATGCTTGATGAGATTGCTGTTGAAGTTAACAGAGTTTCCAGGAGCATCGATGAATTTCAAGAGTACAGTTATCAATATAATGTTAAGATTGTTGGTGTCCCTCAATTGAGTCAAGATGAATCCTCGGCTTCTACGAGTGCGCTATGTGAATGTTTATTTAAGGCAATTGGATCCGCTGTATCAATTCATGACATTGACACAGCCCATCGAGTCCCAACGAGAAGCAATGACAATGGCGGCCCGCGGCCAATCATTTGCCGATTTATTAGACGATTGTCAAAAGATGATGTCATGAATCATAAAAGAAATGCAAGTAAAGTTGCCCCATCTGCTGTTGGTTTACCTGACGATGCCTCCCTTTCCGCTGTTAGAATTTTTGACCATTTAACGCCAAGGATGCAAAAGGTTTTATTTGAAGCTAAGAGGTTCAAGGAGCAGTTTCACTATCAGTATTGCTGGTCGAAGGGATCGCTTGTTTATCTTCGTAAAGATACCACGTCTCGAGCCATCAAGATTAAGGATATCACGGACCTGCACCGATTAACGAATGGACGTGAAGGCTAAGTATTCATGTTGATGTAGAGTTGTTTGTCTGTTTTTAGATAATAAGTATGAGTGTTAGCAAGAAACGTGTTCGTTGTACAATTAAATCTACCCTAAGCGAACTTCCATACGCGAATGTTGAAATTATTAGAGCTCATGGTCAGTTTAATAACATTCTCAACAGTGACTTACCGACCAAGAAGTACTTAGACAAACTTCATAGTATTTATGATTTAGATTTGTTTCGCTTAAATACCGAATCAACATTAAATCCCGACAGAAACTTAAGCATGCAACAAATTAGATGTAAATATTTCTCACCCTATAGTTTTTCTATGTTTAAAGAGTCTTTGTTGGAATCAGATAGTCAATGTCCTTTCTCTATGCTTCATACTAACGTAAGAAGTTTGCGGAAAAACATTGATAATTTTCAAGTCCATCTTTTAGATGAACTTGACTACCAATTCAGTGTAATCGGTATTACAGAAACAAAAATTACAAATTCATCTGGGCTAGATTTCAATGCCTGCATACCAAACTATCAGTTTGAATATGTCCCAACACCTCTATCATGTGGAGGTGTTGGAATGTACATTAATAATTGTTTGAAATATAAGGTTCTGGAGAGAACATCTAAAGACGCTTTTCAGGCTTTATGGATCGAAATTGAATCCCTAAAGAGTAAAAATATCGTTTGTGGAGTGATTTATAGGCAGCATAATGATCCGGAACAATTCCTCCAATATGTTGACTTTACTTTAGAAAAACTTAGCTCCTCTGATAAAGTTGTTTATCTTATGGGCGATTTCAATATTGATCTCCTCAAATCTGAAATTTCCGATTACTCCCAAAATTTTTTGTTATCTTTACAATGTTATTCGTTCTTCCCGGTAATTGATAAACCAACTAGAGTCTACAATAATTCTGCCACACTCATTGATAATATATTTCTGAATAGATTTGATCATAAAATTTCAGGTGGAAATATCGTGTCAGACATTAGTGATCACTACTCCCAATTTTGTTTTATCCACAGTCTTATACCAAAAAATTTTACTGCTAAACATAAAATTCGCGATTATTCCAACTTCTCTGAAGAATGCTTTATTAATGATGTCTTGGATACTGATTGGGATAACTCAATGACATATGGATCTGTAGACAAATGCTTTTCTTCCTTTTACAATAAATTTAACAAGCTCATTAATAAACACGCTCCTCTCAAAATTTTATCTAGGCGCAAGGCTAAACAATTTTCCAAACCGTGGATAACTAAGGGCCTACGTAAATCTATCAAAATAAAGAATAGACTCTTTTATTCAGGAGATATCTCAAAATATAAGCTGTATAGGAATAGAATTGTTAGTCTTTCTCGTCTCAGTAAAAGATTGTATTATGAAGCTTACTTCACTACAAATCTAAGAAATGTTAAAAAAACGTGGGAGGGGATTAATGAACTATTGAACAGACAGCGTAACAGAAAAACAGTATCAGCCCTTCAACGCTCTAACAACTCTGGAGTAACACAAAATCCGTCTGAAATAACCAATATCTTTAATCAGTACTTTGCGTCTATTGGACCGCGGCTTGCACGCAATATATCACCTTCCAGGATAAATTTCCAGGACTACCTTGTCGGCACTAATCACTTTAAGTCTTTCTTTTTTGATCCCGTCGTTCCATCCGAGGTGGACTTGGAAATCTTGGCTATACCCAGTAATAAAGTATATGGCCTATATTCTTGCCCGGTTCATCTTTTAAAATCTGGGCGCCAT